TTTCCTATGTTATTTTCTATGTTATTTCTTCATTAACTGATCTAAAGATTCCACTGACATTCAAACATTTTTGGTCAAAACTGGTACTTTGCCAATGACCAACTAAAAATTAGAAATGAATACTAATACAGAATTATTAAAAAAATCTTATCATCTTAATACATGCATATTCTTTTAGATATTTAAATTTACAAAGCTAACCTTTAGCAGTCCCTAGAAGCTAAGTAATCAAACAAGGATCAGCTTGGATTTACAATTGGCATAATGAACTTACCTCCTGGAGTGTTAAAAAATTTGCGGATTACTAAATGTTCAAAAACAACCCATACATGGATCCTAGCTTGACCCAATACAATAATTTAAGAATATCAAAGTAATAGAAGTTCTAACTTTTCTCACACAAAACAAGCCTACAGTTTATTTCATGAGCTGAAGTTCTCAGGGGAGAAAAAAGAGGTGTCCATGTTAAGGTAAAGATTCTAAAAGGCTGCTAAGAATGCTGTGATTTGTGGCAATCTGGAATGAGGCAGTTCCCAAACTATCTTAGGATATCTTAAGCCCATATTGTAGCCATTTATTGTCTACCTCTATTTAACCTACCATCCTTAACATTTATTAGGTAAATCCTTCCTGGAATGTGCTGTTTATGTTAACAACCTCCTTCTGCTAGAAGACAAAACTTTAAAAGCAGTGTTTAGTGAGCCCTCATGTGCATAGAATCGTCTAAGGAATCTTCCAACAAGCATATTTTGATTTGGAAAATCTCAGTAAAAGAAAGTGCATACATTTCTAACAAGCACCATGGTGATGCCAAAAATACTCAAGCACATTTTGATAGCAAGGTTCTAAAGAAAAGCTATAATTTACAATACTTAAAAGTCCACCACCACCCCAATGTTTTGCAAAGTACTGGTCTTGAAATGTTTCCAATTAAATTCCTAACACTTTTCCATCTTTATCTTACTTGCTCCATCATTGGCTGTATAATTTTTTAAAGATATGCTTATGTGTCTGTTAATGTATATACACATGTGTGGTGTGTATGCCTTCATATGTGCAAAGGCTGTAAGTGGGCATCAGATCTCTGACCTGGAGTTACAAATGTTTGCAAGACCCCAAACTCCAGGCCTCATGACTGCACAGCAAGTGTTTTTAACCACTGAGCAATCTCACCTACAGGCTATGTTATAATTTTTTAATCACTTCATTACTGTCAAAATCTAGGAAACATATCCTATTCTGCCTTCTTTTTTTGGTCTCTTTCCAAATTCTCACACTTACATGTAAGCATATTATACCTTTACCTTCACCTCTTTCCCGTTCTACCATCTCTGGTTTGTCTACAAGCTAATTAACCCACAACCTGCACTTCCCTACCTTGGATCCACATATGCAGCTACTAAGAAATCTTTCTAAATATAAGCCCAAATGTACACCTCCAATTCAAAATTACCTCCAAAACAGCTGTGGCCTACAGGCTCCATAGAAGAGCACTGGCCTAGCACACACAAAGTCCTGGTTTCAATCTTCAGCCCTAAAGATGGGGTGGAGGTAAGATGTATATCAAAAGATATCTTAAATACCACAGCACCTGTTGCAGAATATTTGTTTACACTGTCAAGATGTGTCTTTGCCAAGGTGTCTTCTGATTGCTTTAATAAAGAGCTGAATGGCCAATAGATAGGCAGGAAGAAGTTAGGAAGGACTTCCAGGGACAGAAAGGACTCCGGGAAGAAAGGGGAGACACCCAGAGACATGAAGAGGAAACAGGAGTTGCAAGATGTAAGAGAGATAACACCACATGATAAAACATAGTGTAATATAAATGGATTAATTTAAACAGTAAGAGCTAGTTAGGAACAAGCTTAAGCTATAGGCTTAAGTCTCTGTGTCAGAGCTGAGTGGCATGACAGAAATAGTTACACATTCCCGAACCCTCACCTGACACCAGCCTTTTCGATCCTGTATTCACTTTCCTTATCACCATCATCTTCCTATTTCTCTAAGCCACATCTTAAAAACGAGTCCTCTTTCACTAAACCTAGTTAACTTCCATTTAATAATTTCTCAAATCTCATTATTTTCTCCAAAACTAACATTAATGTAGACACAGAACTTGTCTCTCTAGTTACTATCATAACCTAATCAGTTTTCTTGCTTACCCTTTAATCTTTACTAGTATAATTTGTTGTATCTCCCCTATTAAAAGTTACTAGCACAGAGAAACCCTGTCTCAAAAACAAAAAAGTTACTAGTAATCCTCATTACCTTTAGAAAAAAATTTCAGTATACCATATAAAGCTCTTCACACTTTTGACTACCCCCTCAGTCTTAAGCATAAACATGCCTTAAAATGCCTTCTAAAATCACCACAAACTCTGCTCCCTTGACAATAGTTTTCCCTGTGCATACCTCTATTCTTCTAAAACTGGTTAATAATTGCCACTTTACTCATCTCTCTACTAGTCTAAACTTATCAGTCAGTCCTTTTAAGAATGGAGCGTCCAGGGGCTAGAGAGGTGGCTCAGTAATTAAGAGCACTGTGACTGTTCTTTCAAAGACTTGGGTTCACTTCTAGCATCCACATGGCAGCACATAACTGCCTGTAATTCTATCTCCAAGGGACCTGACACCCTCACACAGACATACATGCAGGAAAAACACCAATACACATAAAATAAAAATAAATCACTAAAAAAAAAGGAATGGATTGTCCAGTACCCAGTAGGATCTCAATAAAAGCTGAAACTTGTCTTGAAATATAATCATGGACAATTATTATTGCCACATGCCTAAACTAGTAGCATATACACACACAAAACAAAAATGAACAAAAAAAAACAATTTTATTTGACTTTGTCATTTAACAGAAGTTCCTAAGACTACAGATTTCCAACTATCACAAGTGTTCAATTAATTCCCATAATCTAAGCATATTTGTTTAAAAATATTAAAAACAAAACTCCTACTTTAAACTAAAACACAATTTTAATTTCACAACCATAATGTTACACAAATACAAGCACCAGTGGTCAAATTCAGACAGCCTCGGTTTCCATACTGACTCTTTTACTTACTAAACGTATGACTCTATAACAAATGAACAGTTTCTTCAATAGACAGCAGAGATAGATTGTTTACCTACCTCCTGGTGGTTTCAAACACATATCAATGTGAAAGCATATCTACATGCCATAATAAATGTGAACTAATATATTAGCTTCCATCTCTGCATCAAAGATTTTACAAATGCAAATTTCAAGTTTCATGGGCTATACAAAACTTAAGTTTTAAAGACCAAGAGCACAAGACCTACAGTTTCAATTTTTCTATGTGGCTAAAATAGTAATATCTAACCCCATAATAATCTACCATGTTCTTTAAGAGTACTTATTTTATAAACCACAAAGTGAATCTCAAGGTAAGTTGTTGGTACAGTCATTTAAATATCAGCTCCACTTAAAAAATTAATTGGAGGACAAAAATCAGCAGGGAATACCATTTTGAGATATCTTATTTAGTTTGAGTAATGTCTGTTGACATACAAACTCAATTTATAGACTAATATGAAAGTTAAAAAGGCACCTTTATAAAACCATATTTCCCCCAAATTTCTGACTTATTTTTCAGATATGCTTGCTGGTCTGTCAGAATAGAAAATTTATTTCTCTAGTCTAAAAAATTGATGGAACATATAAAATCCGCTCTCAGCAATACCTTTCTTTATTAACTACAGACTAGATTAGAGCTGTTTCTTGTCTCTTCTGCAGTATTTATAAAAGTAGGATTCTTTAACTTTTAAAGGACAAAACTCCTTTAAAAAAGAAAAAGTAAGGAAAATCTACTATAAAAGTCTGTACTTTGGTACCTGATTGTGGTAACAAGGCCAAAATCCAAGACGAAGCCCTTTACTGCACATCCAGCTCCAACATCTTGGGCAGACTCATCTTGCGACCTCTCCAGATTAGTTGCTCCTGCTCTCTCTACTGCAGAGAGAACTTCAATTAGAGAAATTCTGAAGTCCATAAACCTAAATTGGATACTCCCCTCATTGGAGGCAAGGATCGTAAGACTCACTAAAAAATTCAAGATAGAGGAGGGTTCAGGCAAGTCTAAGTGGCTTGAATCCACTATAATGTATGCAGCTGAGAGTCGGATTATGTAACTTTATTTACCTCAAAAAAAATTTTAGGGAAAAGAATGGCAGTAATTCACTATTAACCCTGAAAAAGCAGACTATATAAATCTTTTAAAGTGAAACTTGAATCACAACATCTACAGTATAAGCCTAGTACTGCCCATTCACATTCATAGCCTTTCTGAGAAAAGCAAGCAAAACAAAAACAAAAATTTTTAAAAACCTTCAAATTTATTATTGTTCTTTTTAAACTCTACAATCTCTCTATTGAAAGGAACACTTAGCTAAAAACTGATTAGAAAGGAACGGTTCCCTGCTGACTTAAGCCTAACTGCCCAAGCAAGGCTTTAGAAAATGCTTTACCTATAACAGTGCACAAACAGAAGGAGCAGAGGCAATGGCGGTCTTTCCAATAACATTCCCAAGGCATATACATGGGGTGTATTTCTGGGACAGACTGCCAACAAGTTACTGAAAGAACTTCAGCAAAACCTAGTAAATAAATAAGACAATACCCTTAAGTGTTCTGTTCTGGTATCAGAGTCTTAACTAATGTTACCCTGAGGCTATTACATCTAAATCATATACTCTACACTAGTATTACCTGAATGTGAAGTCTGGATTCATTTTCAGGTCGATTTTCACAAGCCCACAATGATGTATAAAGCATTTCTTCAAGTACCAAATTCCACACCAGAGATCTCAGCAATTAGGAATTACAATTTGAAGAACAGACATTCTGAAGTACTTTTATTACCAGGAATTTTTATAATGTGTGCAAGTGTGTGTTGTACAACACAGTGAAGATAATACTGTTGAGATAATGTATTTACTATCCAATCAAACAATAACTTTACCTTACCTGAGTGTGAAAATTTGAAATGGTGGTTGTCTCAATATCTTTCTTGCCCAAAATTTCCATTTTCACTGGAGTGTTGGGAAAATTAAAAGCAAAGTAGTCCAAGAAGTCTGGGAGATAAGCAGCCGCTCCATGCACTATTGCTAAAGCATAGTAGGCAGCATTTTTCTCATTTTCACTGAATGTCAAAGCAAGAAACTCCTCAGAAAATCTCTCCATCTCCATTGGAGACAAAAATGAGAGTTCGTCCATGTAAGCATGAAGGACAAGAGCACCACCATTGGACTGGTGTTCTTCATGGATAAAGTTGCTAAATTTAGTACCTGTTTTTAAGAAATTTCTGCGAATAGAGTGTTCTTGGTGCGTTGTAAAAGGTGTCTGTACTCCCTGGGGCACCCGATATTCTTGCATGCCCAAATTTAATCTGCACAGCTGTTCATCCTTCAGATATCTGAAGGACTCCTTATTAACTCCTGAAGTGTTATTTAGCTGTCCTTGGGTGAGAATTTCTTTGCTGATGCGGGTCAGGCCAGCACAGACGGTTTGTACTTCCTTATTGTACATTTTAAGGCGTCTTCCTCGCATGTCTTCTCGGTGTTTCTTTTTCTTTTTCTTCTTTATTTTCTTCAAGACAAAATCATCAGCTCTCTGGGTTTTACCATTTTCATCTGCTGTTTCTGGCCACAATAATTAAAAATAAGTTAGTTGCTAGGACTAGTGTCAATATACATGTGTCTTAAGGTATTTGATCTAAAATTAAATAATTTCTCCTCTATTTCTGAGAATTTATTACATCTTTTATCATTAGAAACAAAAATGAGACAATGATCTTAAAATACAATAATATTCTGGGTCAGATTACACTATTAAAAAAAGCTGACAGTGAGGTACTGCTGAACTATAGTTTAGTGGTATGTAACACTAACTTAGTATGTGCAAGGCCATGGATTCAACTCCAGCAACACACATACACACACACACACACCACACACACAGGATACATTTAATATGACTTGTAGTAAAGATAAAGCATTGAAGTAGTGTATGATAAACCATATGGAGGATTTGTTTGTTCAGTGACTCTAAATTGAAGTTGTTGTCTCATGTTTTGCTGTCTATACATAGTTGAGTCAAACAAAGATAAATTAAGCCATAAAAACTACTTTTGCCTATCAAATTGGCTTTGCAAAAAATATGTTGTCTTGCAAGGGTGGGGGTGGGGGACAGGCAAGTCAACTATAGGAAATATAAACCAATGACATAGGTTGCCACTCACATTCTCATCGAAGCTTATTTTACTGTTAACCTTGCTGGTCCTACCTACTATTCTCCACCACAAGTATTCTTGTCAGTGCCAATCTGTTCCTCCTGTTGTGTCTTGCTACATTTTTGTCACTCATTTTTCCTGTTGTCTCTTTTTTTTTAGTTTTTATTTATTATGTATATAGTATTGTGTCTACATGTATCCCTGCAGGTCAGATGAGGGCACCAGATCTCATTACAGATGGTTGTGAGCCATCATGTGGTTGCTGGGAATCGAACTCAGGACCTCTGGAAGAGCAGTCAGTGCTCTTAACCTCTGAGCCATCTCTCCAGCCCCTTCCTGTTGTCTCTTAAAAGTAATCATCACTTTTCTTCAGGAAAGACAAGACTTTACAATATCCTTTGGAGCCTGTAATTCAAGCATCTGGAAGGCTGACAAAGATTAAGAATTGATGCTAGTCTGGGCTCTACAGTAAGACTCTCAAAAAAGGAGCTGAAACAGAAGCCTTTTCTCATGGGAAAAATAGAGAGAAAAAGGCAACACAAACAGCAAGAAAACAGAGGCAAAACCAAGCAAATGGTGACCAGGTTCGGTACAGAACACTCTTCACACAGCATTTCACTTTTAATCTTATCCCATGAAGTTATTCTTCACACTGTTTTATGGAAGAGCAAAGTGTAGAGAGTGTACTTCCTGGGTAAGTATATAGAGTATATAATAAGTATATTATAGTAAGTATAGAGCGTATATAATCTTGGGTAAGATTACAGATAAATGATAACCAGTTTGGTGATATGTACCACAAGATTTACCACAAGCTTTAAAAATATAAACTTTAAATCCAGAAAATACACTTCCAAGTCAAAGTTATCAAGAAATGACTGGATTATCTATGAAGATAGGTATGACAGTATCTTTTAAAATAACAAAAGTAGAATCCTCTAAAATGCCTAATATAGTGACTAAATGCTGATAGTTACATACTACAAATATATTATGTAACCTTTATAAGTTATGGAGTGAAGGAACTGAAATAAAATGTTACCAAATGCTCATATTGTCACGTTTGTAGATACCCAGTTATAAAGAACTTATTTGGCATAATATATAAATACTAACTAGTATAAATACTATGTAAAACCATTTTTAAAAATTCCAAATGATCATATACTACCACAGTTACAGAGTCTCAAGAAAATATTTTAAAATGCAAGTCAAAGTCTTTAAAGTATATAAACAATGTACAATGTGTTTGAAACTTGCTTTTAAAATGACAAAAAAAAAAAAAAAGACATGGTAGTTCACCCTTGTTGCAGTCAAGAGGCACAAACCGAGGGAGACTGACATCTAAGCCACCTGGAGTAGAGTCAGAGTGAGAAAGAAAGGGGTGGGAGAGGGAAAAAGACAATAAAAAGAAGTCTCTTCATTTACATTTATAATGAAACTATATAACATACATAAAATCAGATTTCTTACATAGCAGCTCACAACTGTCTGTAACTCCAGTTCCAGGGAATCTGACACCTTCACACCAATGCACATAAAATTAAATAAATTATTTTCTTAAATATTCATCTAATTACACCTACTAAATCCCTTAGTAATTTCATGGGGGGAATAGGAATATCTCTGAAAATATCAGGTTTTTAAGTTTCAGAAGAGGTATGCAAAAAATGAATTATAACCTAAATCTGCCACTGAAGGAAGTGCCTTGACTATTAAGGCACTTTCTAGATTACTATTTACTTATCAGTGGTATTTCTACATGGCCAAGTCTGTTAGTTTTAGTCAAAAACTTTTACTAAAAAAAAATTCAATTAGTGTAACAGCCTCAAAAGGAAAAGAAAATGAAGTGAACCTTAAATTAATTGTAATCTCACAAATATCAATTCCTTTCTTAGTTAAACCTGGTTTTCAAAGGTAGACTGAGATACAGAAAGCCTGTCTTTCTTTGTAGATAAGTTTGAGACCACTCATCGCCTACTTGCTAATGAATTTACATGTAAAACAAAATTTATTCTTAAAATGCAGTGGTGACAACTGAGAATGGCCTAAGTACCCATACATCCACACACTATTGGTGATTATGTGAAGTCAGCCATTGTTACTGTATGAGAAAAATGCCAGTAGCCTTGCTTAGAGTTAAAAAATAAAAAATATTTTTAAAGTCTACAAAAGAGAGAGAAAAAGGGAGAAAAGTCAATGCCTAAAGGCTTGCTTCATGGTCTTTCCATTTCTAGTACAGTAGTTTAGCTTTCTCACAGAAAATGCATTCAGGAAGTCATTTTCTGAGTTATTTCTCCATAGTGTAAGAGCTAAAATTTACTGCCCTCAGTTTGTTTTTTTAAATTATTATTTATTATTATTGTGTGCATGTGCACGGTGCCTCTGTGGGGTCAGAGGACAACTTTATGGAAGTTGTCTCCTTTCACCTTTATGTGTGTTTTAGGGATGCAACTCGCTGCCAGGTTTCTGCTGCCATATCCTTTCCACAGCAAGGGATATTAATAGCCCCTCACTGTTGGTTTCTCTGTCTTCTTGTACTGTTTTGTTTTTGTAGTGACAGCAAAAAAAACCTTCCCTTCCTCACACAGCTAGGCAGGTGTTCTAGTCCTTACATCTGTTTTTAACAGCAAAGAACAAAGCTATAACTTTCACCTATATTAGGGAAAGCTTTTACATATCAAACTGAAACTCAATATACTGAAAGCATGTCATACTACAGAGAAAGACAGCAACATTTACCTGAACAAGTTGCTGGCTCTATTTCAAAAGGTCATTATAACTACACTTAGAATACAAGAAATTATCACTACAATCCTCAAATTAGTTAACATCATCTATCATCAAATAGCCTAGTTTACTTAATATCACACTAGTCTAGGATTCACTAGTGAAAAAAAAAAAAAAAACCCTAGAATAAAGAGTAGGATAGAGCTCACTGGTAGAAAACATGTGTAGCATTCAAAGTTCTGGGTTCAATCACCAGGTACCAGTATGCACACATGCATATGTGTGCAAGCACATAAACATACATGTGCATGCACGCACATAAACATGCATGTGTGTGCACGCACATAAATATGTATGCGTGTGCACACACGCACGCACATGAAAACCGTGTCTTACGAAATTCACTTCCTAACTACCATGATAGATAAGAAAATCAAACAATAATTGTTCATACTTTTCATAAATTATAATAAAAACAATTGTTCATATCATAATCATAAAGAAAAAAGAACTAAAGTTGTGCTCTAAAATCTTTTTTTGTTTTGTTTTGGAGATAGGGCCTTGCAAAGTAGCTGATCTTAAATTCAAGGTCATCTTACCTCAGTATCCCAAATGCCACAAGTACTAGGGGAATAAATTCTTTGTGATTCTCTTGAGATTAGTTAAAACCTTATACAACCTGATTTAAATGAAAAAATAAAAAGCAGCTACTTTTGAAGCCAAGTTCCTGGAAATCACTGTTTTTAACATTGTATACACATACTCTTTTATGCTACATAACAGCTAGCTATGTAGAAATCCTGTTCTACCACTTCTTAAGACTACACTTTTTTTTTCACAGTAGTAGTTTGTTTTAAAAAGGATCTCACTATTTACTCTGAACTGGCCTTGAACCTATCAGATGGTGCAGGCTGGCATTAAATTCATGATCCTCTTGCCTTAGCCTGTTGGATGCTATCATTACAGTTACATGAACACATTCAGCCTAAAACATCATGTTTGGTGTTTTGATTTTCTTGGTGGGTTTTTTATTTGTGTGTGTGTGGTTTTTTTTTTTTTTTTTTTTAGTTCTCAACAAACCTGACAAGAAACTATACAGATTTCCCATACAGCCCTATTAAGGACCCACCAGAGCAGTACACTTGTTACCACTGGACACATTGACATATCTTCTTCACCCAGAACTCACAGTCCAAACCATGGTTCACTCTTGGTACTGTACATTCTTGCTTGAATAAATATAAACAACATGGGCTTACCATAACTGTATTATAAAGGGCAGTTTAATGGCCCTAAAAATTCTGTGATCTGACTATTCATATGTCCCTCCATCCTAATTACCAGCAACCACTGACCTTTTTTTTTAATTGTCTCCAGAGGTTTGCCTTTTTCAGTATTACATAACTGGAATTACACAGTATGTAGCCCTCCTAGACTGGGTTCTTTCTATTACTGCATTATTAAAGCTCTTAAGGTTACTCTGTTACTTTTCAGAATCAGTAGTTTTAGAGCTGCATAATATTCCACTGTGGCTATACCAGTTTGTCCATTTATCTACTGAAGAACAACTGTTTTGTTCCCAATTTTTGGCAATTATGAATACAGCTGCTACAAATTTCTGTGTAGGTATAAATTTCCAAATCCTTTGAGTAAATACCAAATAGTATGTGAACTGCCATA